CCTATTCTTAACTAAATGCTTTCCAGCTCCTGGCTGGACATTCATTCACCCAAATATCTTGTGGCAGAATGCCAGGAACAAAATGTCCAACTTCTCTCTCTAAGCGGTGGGCCTTTGCATACAGAAAAGTAGTAAAATAAAGATGCAGCATGCCTATTAAAATTAAGAATTTTGCTTTTGCATTGGCTTTGGTGTGTCTGTGAAGAGAAGGGGCATTTACCATAGTTCTCTAAAAACTGGCTTTTCTGTGATCTAGTTAAAAGGTCTGTGTATTCTCCCATTCAGTCCAAGTACCCAAGCTTTTTAGCAATCTTTCTAGTGAAAATCAGTTAATCTCCACATTGTTTTATCATATGGAAGCATTAATGCACATTGTAAAGGTGCCTTTCAAGTTATTACACAGAAGGTGAATCCTTATTATAAAAAAGGCATTCTAAAATATACTATAAATAGTTGCTCCAGGCTGTATATTGATATATTTGGGTATCAGTACAGGAGCAACCAAGTATAAACTACTGTATTTACTCAAATTTCAGTTGACCGTGAATTTAAGGAGACCTCTCCCCCGGTAATTAAATTCTATACATGGAAAAATTATAAATTTGTTATAATTGTCCAGGTATAGAATCTAATTATTGGAGAGAGGTCTTAATTTCATCCCACTTCTACAGCTACAGCAGGAAAAATACTGCTTGGGGTGGGCTCAGGTAGCCCCTTGCCTTCTGCCCCCCCCGCAAATTCTTCTCCCTGTCGCCTTCTCTGCCCTGCTCCCATACCCCCTGGCTCCCAGCTCCTCAAGGCCTCTGCTGCTTTCTCCCCTGTGCCCCACAATCTCTGTCCCTACCTCCCTCCCCACACCTTTACTGTCAGACACTGCTCAGGCTCTGTTTCCTCCCGGAGCACAGCACATGGAAGCTATCTCTTGCCAGGCCATGCACCAGTGTCATCACTGTTGATTGGCCAGGCAGGAGACATATTTTTCATGTGCTCCATGCCCAGGAGGGAACCGAGCCTGAGCCAGAGCTAAGCTGCACCTGACAGTAAGGAGGGGGAGAGGGGAGGGCAGGAAGCTGCTGAGGGTCTGACTCTGGCCCAGACCCAGACCCAGACCCAGGCTCAGGCCCAGAATTAGAGCTGTAGCCCCCCCCCCCGCTGTTTTATGTACAAATCTAAAACAAGGGGCTTTTTCCCTTATGCTGATTGAGGGGGGAAAATTTATCTTAGATTCAAGTAAATATGATGTTGTTGTTGTTATAGAAACTATAATTTAAATTGCATTTGACTGAAGGTCAGTTCACCAATGTTCACAAAGGTATGGAAGGGCAACCCGTACTCATACACTTTTCTGCCTCCCCTGCCAAAGTCCTCATGCACACACAGGCCTCCCAACCCAAAATAATATACAATTTTCTGTCTCCCTTGAAAAAAAAAAAGGTGCATGCAAGAATGTACATACAGCATCTTAGAATTACTCCAGCGATATAAGTGCTAGGCAGCTTCTCCTGCTTTCCATACTGCCTCCTACAGAAGAGGAATAAACTTTTTGATAGCCGGAGCACCTGCTCTGTTGGCTTGACAAAATTAGACCCACAGAAGGAGCTAGGGTTGAGAGATAAATAGTTTAGAGCAGTGAATATAACAGTAAGGCAGGGCCACATTAAGTTTACCCAGCACCTTAGCCTCAGAGGCCTAATGAGAGCAGGGAGAGGGGTGCCACTGAGCACCAGCGGGCATGGAGTGCTGAGAGCAGGGGGAGTGGGGAGTCTAACCAGCTCTGAGAGCACAAAAAGTCTTCAGCTGATGCTGCCATGTCATGGTCTGCTCACCCTAGTTGCTGCTGCAGCAACAGTGTGATCTGCATCCACCTAGCTGATGCTTCAACAGCAACAGCTTTGGGCTGCTGCTTCTGCTGGGGCACAGACTCCCCAGGGAGGCATTCTGGCATCTGACTAAGTTGGTGCCCAGGGTTGAAGCCCTGCTCACCCACCCCATGTTACACTATTGTTAAGCATACCTTATATGGGTTTCCTGTATTCTGGCCTTGCCCCTCTACACTAGGGCAGTGCTGTCCATGCTGCACAGCCTATTCCTATTTGAGACTGCAGTATCTATGCATTTCTCTCCCAGTCTGTTGCAAAGTGTGGCAGTGTCTGTGACAGGGTCTTCTTTTCTCACAGGGTTACATGGAGGAGGCAGCAGACGTAGCCCCTGCAATGAAAAGTTTACAGTCCAAGGTTAGAATTGTAGACAACAGATGGTTATTAGAAGGAAACAATAAGACAACTCTTGTACAAGGAATATAAATATAATTCCTTAATCTATGCATAAAACTAAATTTAATCTAATATGAAACCACAAATGATAAAATACTAAACTCATAATTGTAGAGTTATTCAGCAGCGTTGGTAGAGGGCAAAGTGAAGGTGGTTTAGGTGCCTTATATATTTTTATTCTTTAATAAGTTTGGATTTATTTTTTATAGTGACTTTGATAGGCTCAGATACTTACAAAATTCCTATAATTTTCTTACCTTAAATTACCAAAGCATACTCTCAACCTTACTTTTTTAATGTTATTTTTGTCCTGGAATGTAGCTGTATTTATATATTAAGATGAGAGTGCATATTAGAACTTTTTGCCATGCATACAGAAACAAGACATAGGTTACAGTTACAGTTGGTAAGTGCAATTGAAGAGAAGATATATATACCTTCCATTAAATAGAAAAATTCCTACTAACTAGCACCAAAATCAGTGATTCTCAACCAGGGTGCCTTAAAATTGTTTCAAGGGTGCTGCAAGGTGTTGTGAAATGTTAGCACAGTTAGGTGTGCAAACTTGATTCACAAGATAAACTCCAGGGCCATGTTCAGACATGCATGGACGTTTGATTCCCCAGGGACAACTAGAGGCTGCGCACCTTGTGCCGCTGCTAGCTGTCCCCAGGGAACACATGTACCATACGGCAAGTTACCGCAGGTGGGGTAGGGGAGATTAGGGCCATCACTGGGCTGGCCCCACCAACCTTATCTAGGGTCCTGGGGGCCTCCCAGGCCTGCAGCAGCAGCGATCCTGCCATATGGAGCCTGCCTGGCAGCAGAGTGCAGTTCTGGCTGGCCAGGCTCCAGTTTTGGGCAGTGCATGCTGCTGCCACATGTGTGGCTCCGCTTTTTTTTCCCATGGGTTTTTTTTGACCCCTGCTCCCTTGCAGCATGGAGAACAAATGAACATGTGGTATGTGGCACTGCAGACTTTGTCTGTGGTGTCACATAGCATATGGCCGTGCTCGTTTGGACGCAGCCCAGGATTTCAAATAGGAATCCATAGTGTTAAAACATTCTGGTCTTTCTGAGTTCTTTGAAACAGAAGAATTGCTGTATTATTTTTCTGTAGTCAAAAATGTTTGAAAAGTAAGTGCTGGCATTTTCCATGAGGAGCCTTGAGCCTAAAAAAGGATGCTTCAAGTCTGAAAGGTTGAGAACCACTGACCTAAACAATTTACTAGTGTTGTTGTAACAAAGCCCTCACCAACAGCTACACAAAATAAATGAGCCAAATGTTGCATTCATCATATAGCAATTTTTTAATTATACATAAAAAACTCAATAGCATATTCTAATTTAGAGAATCATACATAAATCGTAGAATCAGTAATACGTCAACAATTAAGGCCACCTTAAATCCAGTCTGTCTCTGTCTGTCCATATAATTAAAGTGTCTTTTAGTGGCCATGATCCTAATATCTGACCATCCAAATTGTCATATTTTCTTACTGGGTAAAATAATTCTAAGTACCTCTAATTAATGTTATATTAAGACAGAAATGATCTATATTGGCTCTCTGGGCTCAATTTTGCACCTTTCACCAATACAGAATTTTCTTTAAAACATTACATTTGAAGAAAAGGTTAAAAAAATTGAAAATTCAAAAAAGAATTATTGTAAATGCTCAAGAGGTCTTAGAGTACACTTATTTTAATTTTGTCTCAGCTAACTGCTTTGGGTCAGGATATTGTACATCCAAATCTATTGCCAACAAGCTCACCCTAAACAGAAATGCAGGTTGACTGAACCAGATCTTTTATCTCTGCCTTCAGACTGTATTTTCCATTCATTTCTCTATTGGTTATGACACGCATTGAAAGCTTGAAAGACCTGTTTATGAGATATGTCACAGACCCATGAATTTCATCCATGGGAGCATGCTCCTGTTGCCGTCTATTCCCTTTCATTAGATTCACTAACACAGAACATTCTTTTTGCTCTTTCTCCTCTTTTAGATGGAATGGGTCGAGTCCTTGCTCAAGATGTTTATGCAAAAGACAACCTCCCCCCATTTCCAGCATCAGTGAAAGATGGCTATGCTGTAAGAGGTAAATGCAGTACATCTTCTGAAAACTTAACTGTACACCAGCTTGCTTGTACACCTGCACGTTTCATCACAGCCAGAAGCACTTATTTTTTCCTTGAAATTGTATTTATTTCATTTTTAGAAATCTAGATCATTACTGAATTCTTGTTGTGTAAAATTCAGCCATTTTAAAGGAAGACTATTGTGCTTATTGTAGTTTTAACACTTTAAATAGGTGCGCAAGCATGTATTTGTACCCATGCATATTTGCCAACATACTTACAGTTGCAATGTGAGCAATATCGCTCAGTTCTTTACTCCCTTGGCTGTACTGGTCCTGGTGCCTCTTATAGTAGAATCTGCCATCTAACAGTTGCTTTCTAGAAGGAAGTCTGGCCCTAAGACATAGTTTGAGATGCAAGTAATGGTGTTTCCTGAATGAGAGGCAGGAGGATTTCTAATATATCAATAATATTTTATATATAACTCTATAGATGGATAGATAGATAGATATAAAATACGCAAAATCATGCAATCACAAATTTGTTAGGTCCCTATTAATTAGTGATTGTATAATTTTCATAGAAAACGCAAAATCAGGTGGGCTCCATAAAAAAATGTCAAACTCCACAAAAAACAGCGGGATCCATGATTTTGGCAGGCTTACTGCAAAACCCCCCCGCAAAACTTACTTAGAATGCTGGCTCCCCAGAGGGAACCACAGTCCTCATGGCACTGCAGTGATGTGTTATCAACACTCGGGGTACGAGTACCCCGTCCAGCATGTTTCACAGTGAGAGTGGGGGAGTGCTTGCACCCAGGTTTTGGGGATTCTGGGGGAGGGGCGGGGGGATGACTTGTGGCTGAGGCCGTTTTTACTTTTCTGCTTTCCCTTCTGTCCTAAGCACTAGGTCAATAAGCTTCAAAAGCCTACAATTGATCAGAGTCTGTGTTGTGTGCTTGCCTGGTTTTGAGGGGAAGGAGTGCTTGGACCCACACTTTTAGGTTCCCGGGGCAGGGATGGGAACATTATGAGGGGCTGTGGTTGAGTAGAGAGTGAAGACACAGATGGTTGTTAGAAAAATAGCTTTTATTGAACAGCGGTGCAAGGGAGCTCATTGATAAAAAGCTCCAACAAAAGGAGGAAAGAGGTCAGTAGAGTTTCTGGCTGTGTACCAGAGTGGCCAGTTGCAACAGGCTGGGGGGAGTTAGGAGCGATGCAGTGTGGGATGCCTGGAGAATCGACCAGGTCCATTTCACAGAACACTTGGTGTCCACACATAACATCAAACAGGTTCACAGCAAACCAATTCATAGTGCTTGATTTTCCACGTATACTTTTGAACCATTCCAGGCAGATTTAAACCAGTTAAACAGGATTGTGTGTCCGTCCACTTCAGGTTTAAACAATATTTAAACTATGCTATGTATTATGTGTGCCTGTGTCCTTAGATGCACTGATGAAAAGTCCTATGTAACAGCTAGGTATTGAGTAGTGGGTATGTTGTTATGCTAGAGGTTGGACAATTAGATTGGAAACCGAAGTTGTTGGTCATGACAGGCACTTTCAGCTCGGGGACAACTGTTTTCTTCTCTTTTTTTTTGGAGTAGATAACTGAAACACTGGAAAACCACTCAGAGAACTAAACCATAAGCCATATAACAGTCCAAAGTGTTTCCTGAGGGTCTGGTAACAAATACAGGGGTAGAAAATTAATTTGATTTCAGCTGTGTGCGTCTGTGTGAAGAGCACGGGGAAGCCCTGGACAAAGCCAAAGAAACAGAAGGGCTGAGAGAGACAACTGTGGGTAGAAGGTTGGCTTGAAAGAGTCTAAGAACTGAAAACAAATAAATGGTCTCCTCCTATTGGATTCCTATTGAGCAGGACTTTATGTACAGTCTTTATAAATTAATTTAATTACATCAGACAGTTATTTGACACACTTCCTTACAGAAACAACTAGTATAGTATTTAGTATTATTTATATTGGAAAAATTAATTCACTTTCAGGAAATATTGGAGCCATTCATAAAGTGTGTGTCTTTCATTAGCACTATTTACGTGGTTTGCAGTGATTTATCCATCTGAGATTTTTTTTGGACTTGTCTTTCCCAGATCATCTGCTCAGGTATATGTGCACATCTTTTAAAGATAACACCGAGCAATCTGTTGAATGTGCACTATTCAAAGACTGTACATGCAAGTTTTCTCTTCTGAACCACAAAGCAAAAAAGTGATAATCTCTGATAAAGATCATGCCATGAAATTCAGAAAGAAATTTTGCTAAGTGAGTTTGATTTACCCAAGCCCAATTTGAAGTGATTGCTTTTGATTAGGTGTGATGCAGAGGACACGGTAGCAGTTTTCAAGTATCTGTAAGGCTGCCATAAACAAGATAAACACAAAATGTCATTCCTTGCCATATAGGGCCAGACATAAGGTCATGGATTTAAACTACAAAAAGCAGATTTAGATCAAATCTCAGGACAAACTTCCTGATTATAAGAACACTGGGACAGGAGAACAAGCTGCTTGGGAAGCTATGGAATAGCCTTCACTGGAGATTTTTTAAAAAGTAGGCTGGATAGACATGCATCTTGAATGGTTTAAGAACAGCACATCCAACATCTGTGCAGTAGATCGGACTTAAGATCTGTTGACCTTGAGGTCCCTTGTAGCCCTGTGTTTCCATAATTGACCAGGAAGGCAGAAAATTACTGAGTCTGAATTAAAGAAACAGTGTTACCATAAATGTCTCACCAGTCTATTTTATGCAGTTCAGCCCACACACTGGTCAGTAGTCCATGTGATTGGGTGCAATGTGATCTTCCCACAATTCAACATTCATCTGATTGATGTGGTCATCAATCAGATGACAATCTGATTAAAGTGGTCTATCTGCTTCTAAGGTATAGTGTGGAGGTATCAAACTCCTCTGACCCCAAAGGCCAGATGAGGGACAGGAGGCCAGTCCACAGACCAGATCAGGTCCATACAATGCCCCACATACCAGAGCCATCACGCAGGGATCCAATCTGGACCAGCCCCATATTCCGCACACAAGGCCAGTCTGGCACAGTTGCCCAAACCAGCGCCACACTCCACATGCATGCTGTGTGCAGCAAGTGTACCAGACCAGCTCCTTGCACTACATAGAGCATGGGCTGGATGATAGGGCTCCACCGGTTGTATCTTTGACACCCCCAACATAGTGTCTTCATTCAAACTGAATAAAGACACCTTCAGTCCACACATGGAACTAATGAACACTAGCACCAATTTAGATCAGTGATTTGGCACCGGTGAGCCTTAAAAATATTTTTGTTATCCTTAATAAAACTAATATGGCTAATTAACATTCTTCTTATATGAGAGACAATAAGGTGGTCATATGCCATATATTGTGCATTAGCTTTCTCAGAAAGCAAAGTCTAAAATAAAATAATCTAATATTTAAAGCTTAAAGAACCACACACAACTGTCACACTACTCTCTTATTTTTGAGGACGGTTCTTCAGATGTCAGTATTTCGGCACCAGAACCACTTGCCGCTAAAAGGGGAAAAGTTTGGCTCCTTTTAGCTAGATTCATCTACTCCACTGTTATTTTAGAGTCTGAAGTCAAGTTAACATTGTCCATTGGGCGCTTCCAAGTTAAACCAATCATTCCTTCTGCTGATACTATATAGTGTCTCACTAACATGGTTGTGTTACTTCTGTATCAGGAAGCAGTGTGTGCAAATTAGGCAGTATGTCTCAGTATAGCTGTATTAGGTGATTATAGCCAGACTTTCTCTGCCATGTGACACAGAAAATTCTTGTTGCTAGAATAATCCATAATGGTCTCCTCAGACCTCTCCATTCTCTTACAAGTGGAACAGTGAGTATATCTGCACAATTTTGTGACAGAACATATTATTCTACCAAAGATAATAAATGTAAATATGTTGAACTTTTAAAGATATCTTAAAATCCCTTAAGGCTGAAAAGGTTTCACATAATAGTTATATCATCTCACATAGAAACTAAGGAAGCAGCTCTGAACTGAACTGTGCTATGTTGTTTTCTCTTTTTTTCGGTGTTTTTATCTTTTTATAATCTTTCTTCTGTGCTTTCTTACAGCTGCCGACGGCCCTGGGGATCGATTCATCATTGGTGAATCCCAAGCTGGTGAGCAGGTGAGCATATTTTTTTTATCTCTTCTTTTTCGAATATTTTTTTATTTCCTATGAAAATAAAAATCTGATTTCTTTTTATTTTAAATTATTATTTTATATTATTATTATCTGTTCTGTGCTGTTCTGTGCAATTTCTAAAGTGTTCCAAACAATAAACTTGTAACTGAAGACAGCTCTGAGTAACTACACATTTGTGTGCATAGTATCTAATCTACAACTACACATGTTGAAGTATGATCTTAGAAGCTAGTGTAAAATCAGAGAGACTCAACCCCAGTATCCTTCAGAGAGTGGTACTGGTGGTTCTCTAGAGGGTCATATGAGGTCTGAATGTGCACAGCAATTCCCTTGTATAATGTTGGCAAGCACTGTGCTTCTGCTGGAGTTGTCATTCATGAAATCTAGAAGCCCAGGGTTTCAGATTTTGAACAGCCCTCAACCCAGCATCTAATTGCACAAGTCATTTGTGTGTTGGATTTTTGCACACATCACTTTGAAGATGCAGAATTACATGCAAGTGATTTTCCCTTCTGCTGAATCGCCAAAGCAGGTGATGTACTCTACTCAAATTTTAGGGAAGTGGGAGTAGTCTTCTCAGGTCACCAAAACTTTGAGCCATCTGTTGCTTTCATTATCTGTCATGCATTTGCCTTCCTTCTCGAGGGACCAGAAGGATTCCACTAAAGGCCACCTAAGCCTCCACCTATTTAAGCATTTTTCCCAGTCTGATATATTCATCCTTGATCTATTTCAATAGGCATCTGGCAGTGTCATTTGTCCCAGTGGGAAGGTCCAGTGGACTTTTCCCTGTTCCCATCAACATTTTTCTCCCTGAAAATCCATATTTTATATCCTTGCTCTTGATAGGCAGCACCCACTTCAGCTTCCTAGACCTGCTCAAGTAACACACACATTGATTATTCTGAATAAAGAGTCCAGAATTACATATACCTGCCTCTTGTGGGTGCCAGGGTACATTTCAGACTCTCTCCCATCTATTCTTCTTTTTGTATGTAGATCATTCTGTCATCTATTCTCTCTCTTACTTGCCTGTATATCATCCTCATTTCTTACTGGGCTTACATTCCTAGCTCCCTCTATCATCTCTTCCTGTCTCTGTTTGAACTGTTTTCCTTTCTTTTCTTCCTTACCACCCCATCTCTTACCTGCTTCTCCTCCTCATTCTCTAGTATCTGCCCTGCAGCTCTTGTTTCTTCTCTACTGGCTTCTTCTCTCTTGGTCACATTCTTTCATAAGTCAGTTTCCTGATCTAGAAGTTTGCTCTCCA